TATTACCCAAGGAATATCTTTACATGTAATCTCCAAGTTAAAATTTATCCCATGCGCACATTTTTGTTCCACTTTACATCTAAACATGTACTTGCACACTGAATATCTACTACGATCTTCCTGCCACTTCTCCCTCTTTCTTTTTTTATCTTACTTAATGCACACGATAGTCGTACACTCTTTTCAAATACAGCTCTTAGTTTCCTGACCGCGGACTGTCAGCGGTCTACCACCATACATTGGACCACACCGTGACCTTGAGTTGGGTCAAACACAACCCTCTTGTCAGTAGTCCGGCGACGTGCAACAGTAAAGTCACAAATAGTAAGTCATTAACCAAGTCCGCATAATAAAAGCTTGGACGAGGAAGACTGAGGAACATAAAATGCGGTCAAAAGAGGTCTGGATAAAGGTTAAAATGCAAACCTGCGAGAAGAAATAAATAAATGACAACACTGAGCAATAATATTCTGTGAAAAGGTCTTCAGCGTGTTGTTTCTGTTACAGCCATCATAATTTTCAATCATTGGCTGTGACCACTAGAGCAGATGAGTAGATGACAGAGATAGCGTTTATCCGAATAACGACTGGCGTTCAACTGGTGACTATCAGCGATTGAATGAGAAAACCATTCCTGATGGTTACCTGTTGTTGATTACTATTTTGAAAGGTACAACATTTTTTTTTCGAAAATCGACCAAATTTCCATGGCTGTTGAAGACATGTAACAGCTAAGGTCGATTGGTTAAGAGTTGATCTCAAGCAACTAAGCATATGTCAAAACAGTATAGTTCAGATATTTATTCACTTATTTATTTTGTATAGGCGTTATATTCCTAATGATCTTATATTGTATGTTGAGAGGCTTTGTTTGTCTGAGTAAGCAATCCCACGCTCCACTGTGACTGCGCGAAGATCGAAATAAAGACCTATTTCCTACGAGTCTGGTTTCTTCTATTAATAACACGAGGGTTACCTGGAGGCACGAAAAACATTCCAAAAGCTGCTATCATTACTGCTTTTGGTCTCTACTTTCGGCTTAAGAAATGCCGCACAAAATTTCCGAAGGTTCATTGATGACGTCTTTCGAGATCGCAATTTCGTACATACATATGCTGATGAATGCTCTATTGCAAGTCCGGATAGAGAATCCCATCTCCAGCACTTGGACATTGTCTTCGAACGACTACAAAGGCGCGGCATTACTGCAAACAATCCGAAATGTCAAATAGAAACCGAACCCCCAGGTTTTCGGACACATTATTGATGCTCAATGCATCCACTTCTCAAAAGCAAAGTGGTGACCATTCCGGATTACCCAGAACCGACCACAATCAAGCAACTGAGCGCGTTTAACGACCCAGTGAGTTTCTCCAGACGGTTCACAACGAATCGCGCTTCTCATATGAGAACATCAGCCGACCAACTTCGTGGAAATGCGAAATCCATTGATTGAGTCGACACTGCGAAAAAACATTCCTCAAAATTAAGGAAATTTATCGCAAACGAAACACAGCTCGCACACCAGGACACCGAAGCATCCAGTAATATCTCAGTAGACTTATCCGACTAGGAAATCAGAGGAGTATAACAGCAATGGGTTAACCACATCTGACAATCTTTATCACCCTTCTGGAGACGGTTATAAGATACTGAATTGAGTGATAACACATTTGCAAGGAGCCCTTAGCCATATATTGTGTTTTTTGGTACTTTCGGCACCAGAAATTCACACAGTTACTGATCAAAAACCCCCCGCCCCTCTGGGATCGTCTTCAGACAAGTACTCACCACATGAGTCTCGACAACTGGACTACATTTCGCAGTTTACTTCAGATATTCAACGCATTTCTGGAGCAAACAATGTAGTTGCAGATGCCTTGTCTCGTATGAATTCCTTGAACGGTTTCCAAGGAATCGACCTTTAAAAACTCGCCCAACTTCAAAGAGAAGACAGTGATCTTCAGCACGAGTTGGCCTCAACAACACTTAAACTGCGCATTAAACAGATGGGAACAGGTAACGAAACCTTACTTTGTGACACATCTACAGGTAGGGATCGCCCAATCGTGCCAAAACAATATCGACGCAACGTCTTCAATACGTTGCACAGACTTTCTCATCCAGGTGTTCGTGCAACCATCAAGCTTATAGCAGAATGGTTTTGCTGGCCTGGTATGAATAAAGACGTGAGGGAGTGGGCACGCTCCTGTGCAAGCTGCCAGAAATCTAAGGTTATTAGATATAACAAATGTCCCTTAGGCTCATTTAAAACTCCCGATGCTCGCTTCGACCATGTTCATTTGGATTTGATAGTACATGTACCGGATTCAAATGGATATTCTTATCTTTTAACATGCGTGGACCGTTTTACTCGATGGCCAGAAGCAGTACCCATCAAAGACATTACTGCTGAAACAGTGGCCCGCGCCTTCGTCGAATGATGGGTAGCAAAATTTGGGTGCCCAACAACCATCACTACAGATCGTGGACGTCAGTTTGAATCTGAACTGTTCCGTTGTCTGACCGCGAAACTAGGAGTCACTCGCTTTCGAACGACGGCCTACCACCCACAAGCAAACGGGTTGGTAGAACGTTTTCACCAACAACTAAAAGCGTCACTATCAGCCTCAAACATTTCTCAGTGGACTGACGCTCTCCCACTCGTCTTGCTAGGCATACGCAATGCAGTGAAAGCTGACATTGGATACACTGGGTCTCAACTCGTTTATGGTACGACCCTTCGACTTCCAGGAGAATTCGTGGATCCTTCATACTCTTCGATGAACATGGATCTAACCTCCTACGCAAACAGGCTTACAAACGCAATGCGTTCAGTTAAGCCTGTTTCCACTCGATCACAATCAACTGATGCTTTCGTTCAACCCGACTTACGACATAGTACCCACGTCTTCGTACGTCGAGACTCGCATCGACGACCTCTAGAATCAGCATACGAAGGACCTTTCAAAGTTCTTCAACGCGAATCTAAGTACTATATCATCGATAAGAATGGAACCAACGAAATCATCAGCATCGATCGACTCAGAGCAGCGTATTTAGAAGGAAATCATATTCACGTCGATTTTCCTTCAATACAATCGCACGACACAACTCCTGCCCTTATTATACCTCAATCGACAGCCGACACACACGTTGATACTTTGGCGGTATCCGTTCTGAAAAAAGAGTAAGATTCCCAGAACATTTGAACGGTTAGTGCACGTAAGATACTAGATTACATTTTATATCCTCTCAATTTTCCCTTGTACTATATATAATTTCTTTTTTTAAAAAAAACCCGAATTTAATATGCTTATATATTTTTATTATTTTTTATTTCAAAAAAGAAAAAAATAAAAAAAACGGTATTATAAAAATTCTTTTTTACGCTATTTCGTGAACATGAGTTTATTTTCCTTTTTTTCGCCCGTTTTGTGTTTTCACGCGCGTACGAGTGTATTCCGACATGCACTTACACATTTTGTTTTCCAGGACGGCTGGAAAAGGCGATAAAAAGAACGATGAAGTTGCGAGAAACGGAAATCTTAATTGTACTTTTTTTACTATATTGTACATCATGGTCCCTTATAGTAAGATAAGACGATCAGACGCTGCTAAACCTAACAAGCTACCAGAAGAGTGTTTACCAACGAAAACTCGTTGGGTTTAAACTTCTGACTGGCCACGTCTTTAGGTCATCACTACCCCACTAGGGGGGAGTGATCTGTAGCGGTAAATAATTCCCCAAAATCAAATAGCTCTGTAAGTTTTCGACATTGGATGCTGACCACAGTTTTAGTGGACTCATCTAGCTGAAGGCGCTCGGTCAAGCATTCGCACCAGATCACGTGTAGGAACGCCGTGCTCAACATCTACCGCAATCGCTAGCCAGATTAGTGCATACGATCCTCGATATATTGATAGCTTATCAAATATATCTTCGATCTCCTCGCTTCTGTCTTTTGATTTTACTTGGCGGTTGCGCTCCATATTAGAAAGTGTTACTGGTTAAAGCGTTGTCAAACTCCGAATACCCGGCATCTTCAACAGGCTGCATGACAGAATATGCTTTTTTAATTGGAGACAAATTTGTCAATTATCTTGTCCTGATACTGAAACCTATCTTTTTTCAGCGTCCTTGCGCATTGGTCTGTTGCTGCCTACATATGCTTTCGTCACTATTTATCTTTCGAACAGTATGATTTCATATGACTGTAGGTTAAAATGGTTCAAATGGTTGTGGACGGAATAGAAAAAGCTTTCGCTTAACGGACTTTCGGGTTTAGTAGTGGTGGATCATCAATACTTCCAGGCAGGAACATAGGCATACTTACGGTAATGGAGGAAAAAATTGGTGAATCATAGTAAGATATTATTCTTAGTCCTTAAGAATAGGTCAAGTTCCTTCTTAAAGGAATCCTGGGAAGTAGATTGGATTAGCTCAGTCGGCAGCGAATTCTAGCATTTGGCAACTCTTGACGAGTAGAAGTTGTGTCTACAGTCCGTTCTACAATATTGCGTCTCCAGTTCCTAGGTGTTACCCTTTAGGTTTGTGTTGGAGCTAAACTTAAATAGGTGTTTAAGTGGATGTCCAGAAGTGTTAAGGATACTGCAAGCCATTAAGTTGCTTGTAACTTCTTAGATCCGCCTATGTAGTAGACTGGTTTGTAACAATTAAGATTGTACTCAGTAATCGATCTTGATGAGCACTTAAACATAGAGAGTAGGCTTTGATTTTCTGTTTTAAATTTCAACCCGTGTTGTCAGTAAAATGACTGAACTCGGTTTTTCATATCATTTTCTAAGAAATTTGAGATTTTAAAGTTGCCAAAATCCCCAAGAATTCTTGTCGGCCATTCGATCTTTAATATTTATTGCTGTAGACCGAAGACTAAGTTCAGCTGGGTATTGAAATTTGGATATCTAACCTTCGACGAAGTCAAATGTAGAGTTACACAATCCGATTGTTTCATCGCTGGTTTTATGTTGTGTAGTTCATGGAATCAGTTAATTTTAAGCCGCTGTACGGAACAGAAACACGAACTAAAGCAGTAGAATGCATTCTAGAGCCACTGTTCACAAAAGTGAAGTGTTTTGCGAGGAGAGGTCACTTGAAAGGTTCTTACCGTCTTAAGTCTAAACCACAGGAGGATATTTTGTCTAGTGTCAAAGAGGTAATATTTCGTTCTTCTCGCACATTACAATTCACAGGTTATTCAATTGCTTAGTAACGATTTCAGTGTTGTTCAGAGTGTTCCCTCATTATCGTCAGATTTTTTAACTGCTAAAACAGATGTTATTGATACTGGGCAGTATTTTTATTCTTCAGTTTCCAGTTTTCTGTCTGATCCTGCAAATGAATCCCACCGGAGTGGTGTTTGTCGAGCTATCAATGCCTTTTTGGCTGCCTTGAGTAGACTACTTATACTAGCTGATATAGCAGACTCCTTGGTTCTTAACCAGCAGTTCGAGGCCGTCCTCAGTGGTATTGCGGAATTCCAGTCAGTTTCGTCACACGCGGTATGTTTTGTGTAGTATTTGGTTGCTTCACCAGTTATTCCGTCCATTGGATTTAAAACCACGTCATCTTAGAGGTCATGTTCATGTAGCTTTCATGTCGTTTGATGTCCCCTTATAATCTATCTTTACTTCAACCGTACACTAGAAATTCTGAAAGGCTTCTTGGCAACAATGTCCTAGCTTTGTTAACCCTTAAATTTTAGAACAAGAGACCCGGTGTTTCGGTGTAAAGATTTAAGTACACAAATCGAGAGTAGAGATAAAAATCTGGAAACATCGACATCCAGCTTCTAAGTAAGGTCATAACATCAAGTCTTTCGGAAAATTAAATAGCCCTCTAGCCTTTTTTGCGTTTTTGGTCTCACAAGTCAGATGGTCACGAAGTATTTATGTTTATAGACTGGTACGAAGCTCCTCATTCTCGTGTTGTCAGAAGGGTTAGTATCAAAGTTCATTACATGTTTCTTGTGCGTTACACTTTTTGTATGGGTCCACAAGTTCATATCAGCTAATTGTGGATGCTAATATTGTGATTGTTTTTAAGGTGTAGTTGGAGGAGTTGGGGTCATAGACTTTGTAAATCTGATTAAAGGATTAGTATTGATCTTGCGCACCTGGGTATGTGACTGAAAATCTGAAGGTACAAATGATTAAGATCGGTTACATACAACCTTTGTGTAAGTGGCTTTCTTATAGCTAACTCCATACTTCACAGTCCTTACTGTTAGCGCCGAAGAATCATAGAGGATGGGAGGAAATGCTTTCTTCGAGTTAGGGTTTTATAATACTTTTGCTAAGAACCAGCGCCGTTTAAAACGTCTGGTTGGTGAGGCTACCCCTTTATACCTTTACATACATACTACCGTCAAATCACATCAATTATTTATATATTTCTCTTTCTTAGGAACTGAATCGTTTGTGGATTACCTTTTACCCTCATGTATTACAACTTATCAGCTTGTCAAAGAAACGTGCATCTGATCTAATTGATCTTGAAGACCGCAGAAAAATTGAGTCTGCCAACTACGTGCTTAAAAATAATACGCCTTTATTACATATATCTTGTAAGGTAAGTTCAATCTATGATAGAAATGTATTTGTAAAGTTCGAATGAACATAAAAATAAGTGCCCGGTGTTTCTCAACATCAACGTCATAGAAACCGCTCTTTAGTAGGACGGAGAATGTTAAGTTTTTTCACTCATTGTTATATTACAAATATGTCATTATTATAATACAAAACATTTAAAATAATAACTTAGTGTTGTGAATGTTTTCGCTAACGATTTCGTCAGGCCCACATAACTTCAATCTTCCCATTTAACCTCTTCACCAACTTATTGATGTGTCAACTATCACTTGGTTTTAAGGAGGGCAAAATATGACATCAGTCAATGAAACCACTGTGTTAGTTTGTTCCGTGTTATTACGGTTATACTAGCGACGGAATAACTGACTTAGTGGTTGGAAACATTGACTGAAAAGGCTCAGAACCAGTCAAGTTGATGTAAATGCATCCACTCCTTATGTCCTCCTAGATTCTGAAATCCAAAATCATACTTTTTGTTTATCGAACTCATTCCTTCTTTTTGAATGACATTCTGTATGTATGTTTTTACAGTAGACTAGATATGATACCAAGTTAACTCGGTATGAAAACTCAATAAGTGGCTTACTACGTGCCTAGGTAGTTCTGTCAAATATTCAGATATCGGAAGTGCCTATTGTGCGTTTCACTACACTTAACAGGCGTTTTCAAGTGAGTAACCAAACTTGATCACTTTTGGTTTCTTTACTTCAGCTCAGAGTTTTCTTAAATTTTACTTTACGATACAAGAAACCTTTCGGTCAATGAAAAAACTTACTTTTTTCCAAATTTAGGTGTGTTTACGCTATCCTGATCATCCCATTCCAAGAGATTCAAGAACTTTTGTTTCGAATTCTCTTTCGGATGCAGTGGAGTTAATTCAATCAGTCTTTAATGGAATTTCCAAATCCAATGGTATCCGGTTACGAACTTCTGGAAAACTTTTAGAAGCTTTAGATGAGTTTGAAGTAATACATTATGTGATAATGAACTAAACTTATTAGAAGAGAAATAAAGACATTTCAATAAGGCAGTTCAACAAAGATATTATTGATATGAGAAATTAAATTGTAATTTAATAGTTAAATTCATGAGTCGACTTAAGCTAGACCACCATTGAAAACCTGGAAGCACTGGACGGCCGTTTTGTCCTAATATAGAACTCCTCAGAAGTGAGAACTCACGATCCTGCACGCGGGACCCGACCTCAGGACCTTCGGCCTCGCGCGTGAACGCTTAACCTCTGGACCATTGGGCCGACATCTAACGGTGTTAATATCTAACTTCAACCAATCCACGATATTACCCAACCGTCCACCATTGTCTTCAGCGAGTCATCGCCTCACAACAGACACGGTTGGACTCCATTACTCACAGATTCTCACTAAAACTCCAGGAAATACATCTTTCAGGTTCTTAGTGGTGGTCTAGCTTAAATCGATTCATGAATTCGACTATTAACTCACTACAATCTCCACAAACCTCATTCTGAAAATTGAATTGTCTTTATTTTTCTTCAAATGACAATGTTTTGTGTATCATAAGTAATTTATTCTGGTTTTAAAAAACGGCTTTCCTTCTCATGTTAAATAACCATTTATTCTTACGTTGTATATCTTTTCAATTGTTTCTTAATTTCACAAACTGTCGATAAGATCGTATTCATAATCATTTGTAAGAGGAGGTTTTTGCGTTTTTATTAGACGAAATATTGACCGTCAAAATCAATGTGTAAAGTGCTAATCGATAGATAAATGCAGTGATATAATGTAAGCGAGTAGTAACTACTCATGAGACCACATACTTGACTCAGGCCCTCAAATGATTAGAAACTAAAGAAAAGACCACTAGCCATATGAATAGTTTTTTTTTTGTAGTACGATAAATGCTTATATAAAAAGGATGAATATAAAATAAATATAACAATATATCATGAGCAATTTCAGGAAATTAGCTTGTAAGTAAATCATTCTCTAATCAATTGAGATATGACTGTCAGGCGTAATCTCTGAGCATCGTATCAGTTTCCAACCATTTAGGTTAGTATTAACATATCTTAAAATGTAATTCATTTATCGAATACGAGTTTGCCTATTCGACCTTAGACAACATTCCATTTTGATTTAAGTCGTAATAAGTTCATATCATGAAATTCATTATAAATAATACTTAAACTTAGTCCACATTAACATATGTGAGTTTAATAAACCGAGCCTATATTCTAGTTTTACATATATTTTTTATTGTGTTGGGGAAATTATGGTACCGAATGCTCTACCTTGTTCGTAATCAGTTTAGTACCACAGTTTCTCAGTCTTAGAACACTATCCTTTAGTGTAAAAAATATAATACCGATAAATCACTCATTGGTGAAGGGAGCCATTTGAACCCGTGATACATTAGGTGATCATGTATTTACATCAATAGATTATAGCTTCACTTGAGACATGATTGGTGAAAAATATTGAGTCGATTAATATGCAGATGAGTAAAAATAAACATACAATAGTCCAAATGTTAGTGGTTTTTAAGAAAGATAAATGTAGTAATAAACTGCTAGTTTTATGCAGCCAACGTAGAACATAGACCTTAGTTAGTATCTTGACGTGGTGGTCGGGCTTGCCTATCGTGGTGACCCAACAGAGCTATATTGGCTCCTTTAGGTTCTATCATCCTTAGCAGGTTGTTTGGAGAACAGTAAGCAACTTTAGACCCTAGTGTGAAGTCGTACCTCTGATTGTGGAGGGGTGTGATAGCGTTAAGGCGTTTCAATTATGGCTAGCTGTCGGAATTAGTTACTTCAAGTGGTTGTCCGCTTTCCTCATTTTTATTTAACTTTGTCATGGACGTGCTTTTAGAGATAACATTTTCATTGTCTGACTTCTCAGGGATTAATCTCCCAGCAGATTCACTTGTTGACTTGAAATACACAGACGATATAGTTCTGTTTGATTAAGATGATGACAAAATGCAGTCCTTTGATCACTTTAAGCAACAATGCAAGAATGTTTGGGGCGCGGCTATCTCCCTCAAAATGCAAGACTTTACTTCAGGATTGGCGTGTTCCGTCGCCTGAATTAAGAATAGGTAGTGAACGCATCGACCACTTTACTTATCTTGAGGATCTCGTCAGTACTGATGGTTTGGAGTCTGACCAGACCTCGGCAACGATCCAGAAGGCTCGATTGGTTTTCATTAACTTACGCCACTTGTGGAGTAGGCGAGATATCCGTCTGCCAACCAAAGGGCGAGTTCAGTATGTAGCAGTTTGTTTCGTTCTACTTTATTGGTTTGAACATGGCCATTAAGAACAGAGAATATCTGTAGGTTACTGGTATTCGAAGCATTGGTCGTGTATTTTGGGACCAGTGCCTGGGTTGAGAATAGATTACTAGGTAAAGCTGGGAAATTGACTGAAGATGTAGCAAATCTTTATGAACTGAGATGGTTGGGATATGTGTTACATATACCTAACTATACCGCCTATCTTGACGGGTGGTATTTTCTGGTGTAAGCGTGTGCTGGAAGAACGCCACGGACGACCAAACCAAAACATGGCATCAGTTCATGAAGTCACTGACAATTGGATTTAGCCATGTTCGTAGGTGTAGACTATTTGGTTGGGGTTCGCGTGATTATCGTAACCAATGGTTAAAGACTTTGATATGGCTCAAAATCGTTTGCAATAACGTGCATGCATTCGTTCTTTGTCTTCCCCCGACTTCCGAGATTCTAAATTCCTCATAACTTTCTCGTTTTCATTTCACTAACTTATATTTTCTTTTCGAATCGTATCTTCGATGACTAATCTTTCCTTTTAACAATGAGACTGTTACTACTTCTACTATTTTAAGATTTGGCCTGATAAATTCATTTTTCTGTGCCAATTGAGTGTGGCAACTTGAACCAATGTACATACGTACCGATTGAGCATACAGAATAAATATAATACATTCCAGCAACAGCTTTGAAACGTCGTTTTTTTTCTGCCCGGTAAATCGTATCACTTCTATAGCTATAATCTATCATTCTGTTTACTACTATTTAATAATTGAATCCAATGTTACGTTTTATCGTAATTTATAAAAGCTTCAACCTATTCTTTTTGTCTAGAGACTACACAAGTGAAGATATGAAATCCTATTAGGTTTTATATCACTTATAGCTATATTGAATCAATTTTTCTGTTTGATTAAGACACTTATTTATCTCGATTCGAGTTCTATTTGTTTATTTTTTTAAAGAAGAATTTCATAAAATAAATTATCACCATTGTTTATGTTTTTTAGAATAGTCTATTTACTAATCCGGATCAAAAATCGTCTGTACACATACAAGAGCATATTCAGTTTTCGTTAAAGGGACTATTATCATCAGTTTATAAGTTGGTGGATTCATCGAAATTAAATTCAAAACGTCGTTCTGCTATTGATGAGTATTGTACTCAGCTTAAAAATATTACATCTGAATTAATATCAGAATATTCTAAGAAAGTAAGTATTAGTTGTTAGGTCAACCTTTAACAATTGTGTTTTATACAGTGTAAGCATCCACGGAATATCAGTGGTACTTATTTTAAGAGTTAAAATAGCCAGTTATCATAAATATAGAATCGGGCAAGAATTCGTATCGATTTATCTTGTCACAACTCACATCAGTGCAGTGATAGACATAATAAACACGATGAGAAGTAGATAAGAGAAATTCCTTTCAACTATAATGAAAACCTTAACATGATAAATACTGTTGCAAAAGGAATAAATTTGACCAAAGAATAAAAAGTTGGGAAATTACAATTTGAAGGACTATAAGAAAGAAATGTTAAGTGATTAACAAGGTCAATCGTATGATCCATACAATCTGTTGAGAAAAATAGCTAGTCATTATTTGACTTCGTGTTAAATAACACAAAATCTGTTTATTTTGGTGAGATTATCCATTTGCCCGATTCACTAAGTTGGAAGAAAATTAGGGCCGTCCAAACCAATGTGTCACATCACTTCATGGAGTAATTGGCTGTTAGACGGAGCCGTGTAGACAGGTACAGACTACTTAGTTTGGAATCCACGCGATTGTCGTAACTAATGTTTCGAGATGTTGGGATGCTTGATAATCGGTTGCAGCTTCACATATACATTCACCCTCGTGATAAAGTACTTATTTTCAAAGAATACAGAATTAAAGCTCACTACAAAATAACTAACACCCTTCAAAATGCTTTAGTTCACATAAAGGAAAAAATCCCCTTTATGTCAACATAGAACTGTGTCTACAAATTAGAATGTGTCGATTGTGATGCCTTCTATATCGGACAGTCATCTCGTGAAATCTTGACTCGAGCCAAAGAACACCCTAGTTACACAAGAATCCACCTAATAATCCTTTATAACTTTAGAAACTCCAAATTAAATCGGCAATAGCAGTCCGTGCCATTTTTAACAACCATCAAGTCGGTATTAAAAATATCAAAATAATGCTAAAAGATTTTTCCAACTACAAAGACAGGTGAGTAGCTGAAGCTTTCCATATATTTCTTAATCCTACTACCCTCAATAGAAAAGAAGGCTTCACCATCTATCCGAGCTACTACATCTGATTCTATTTGCGTCTCACGCCATCATCACAAATATAAAGTCAACTCTATCTTTCTACATTACAACTATCATATTTTTCATATCGATCAACATACATACAAATACATAAGTATGTCTCATAGAGATTACTTAGATCAGAGTGAGATGACATTGACTTGGTTAGACCTGTTTCTGATTGATTGATTGTACTAAATATTCTTGCTTTACTCCTTTGTACCATTTAGACTTGGATTAATTTCATTTGTCTATTTATTCTTTGAAGTGTTAAAAAATTTAATCTTTCTACTCATTAGGATATTACAAATATATTATTTTTATTAGTAAAATACAGTTTTCCTTCGAGTTTATTCTTTTTGAATCGTATTGTCTATTTATATTCTGCATGCTTCATTTTTTTCCCTCCTTCTACTGATCATATTACTACTTCTACTACTCCAATATTTATCTTGTTAATTTAATCTCTTCTATGCTGATATCCTATGGCAACTTGAATCAATATAGTTATGTCTCAAATTATGTTGCTTATGTTTGTGGCTGAATATTTGTACGAGAAAAAAGAGGTTTAATTCTGTTTAGCTTACTTTAAGTAGATTAATGAAATTTATAGTCTTTTACTTCATTTTTTCATTTTATAAAGTTAACTAGGAATTTGTAAAGTTTACAATTATCTCAAAATATATATCCAACACCTATTCACTGAGTTATTAATATCAACAAGCTTTGCTTGTATGTTCTGTACGAATGGGAATTCAGTTACGAATAGGCTATCGTTTTTTTTTTTTGTAGTGATAATCTAGTTTCATTCATAACAAGCAGCAAAGATGATTGTATTTAGAAACACTTTCAATTATTGTAATTAATCTTTTCTCTAAGTATCCTGCCCCCAAATGCCCTGATATGGCCGAGAGCGGGAAGGGTTCGCCCTCCCTCTCGAAATACTCTCACACGGTCACGCGTATACAGCCCCTGCCAGGGAAGTCCTACTCACTGCCTTCTCGTGGCGGGGGTGTTGTTTACGAAAATGAGAGGACGAAAAGCGAATGTCCGGCGCTATAACCGGATCCCAATTTTATGGTGCACATGGGCTCCAGTATCCTGCGGGAACAAATGGCGTATGAACCAACTTTTGGTCACCGGCTTCCATGGGACTGCATCTCCTCACGATGCTCCACTGCCTTGTGGACTAGACCTTTAGGTCAAAGGCTCGGGGTGTGGCCCCCCTAAGAAAACCACCTGTTTCGGTTTGGGCACCCGAGCAGTATCTCAGCCCACGCACTAAAATCATGATGAACAATTTGCGTATGGAAAATATTCCTTTCTCTCTGATTATCATTGAAATGACTCGTACTATTATTATTATTTTACCACGTCATTTATTCACCCTCTCTTATTCCTACTTTGTGTATCCGTTTCGACCTAGACAGCAGCTCGCCTATGGTGAAAATTCAGCTTTATCTAAACGTTCTTGAGTCACTGCCTGGTTGAAAATTGTATGTTACCACCGAATATGAGTACTGAAGCAGTTTTCCTGAAACCACGTACACCATTCAAACTGGCTGCCTTCAACGTTCGCACACTTATGCAGGTCGGACAACAGATAGGTCTGGCTATGTCTTTGGAAAGTCTTAATATTGATGTGTGTTATCTATCCGAGACCCGTATTCAAGACTCTGGTGAAGTACTACAAGTTTGCTCTCCATCTGTCGCTTCAAAAAGCTTGTTTTATGTGCGTTTATCCGGGGACCCTGTGGCATCTTCGTCTGGTCTTGCTGGCGTTGGTGTCGCACTAAGCTCTAGAGCTGAGGCAGCACTAATCGACTGGATCCCCATTAACAGTCGGTTATGTGCTGTTAGATTAGAAAGTTCAATCAAAGTGAGAAGAAATCGGCGTGAGAAACGATGTCTTTTCGTCATCTCCACCTATGCCCCGACAGATTGCAGCCCGGATGCAATCAAGGATGAGTTCTACCACCAGTTAACTGTTCTCCAGAAAGTGCGCTCGACAGATATTGTAGTACTGGCTGGAGACTTGAATGCTCAGGTCGGGCGTCTAGGCACAGAAGAGAGTCGTTTAGGTGGCCGATGGGGACTTGTTGGTCGCAGGACAGATAACGGGGAACGTCTACTGCAGCTATGCACAGACCACAACCTGTTTCTGGCTAGCACTAACTTTCGGCACAGTCATCGCCGATGTGCCACCTGGCGTCCCCCTTCTACATCTCAAGCCTGGATGCAGATTGATCACATCGCGATCAGCTAGCGCTGGCGTGGTTGTGTACAAGACTGCCGCTCCTTTTAGAGTACCTATCTGGAATCTGATCATGCTCTGGTCTGCGCCAATCTTACCTTACTTTTGAGTGGACAACGAAGTGACCGCCACCAAAGGATTGATGTTAGCAAGCTGGCTGCAACTTCTGTTGCTAGTAAGTACCGAACCGAGCTAGCTTCTAGGCTAGCTAGCATTCCACCGAAAAGTATAGATGAGCATTAGTTGCAATTGCATGACGCCATGAAAATGGCGGGTCAAGTCTGTCGTGGGTTCGCGAAACGTCCCGCTTACAAGCACTGGGTTTCTTCTGGTTCCTTACAACTGATTGAAGCCCGTCGGTCTACTCCGGGTGACCGTGAGTTTGACCACAGACGAAGGATGTTACGTAATGAAATCGGGCAAAGCTTGCGTAAGGACCGTGAAGCCTGGTGGTCGGAGCGTGCTAATGAGCTGGAAGCACCAGCTGCATCTGGTAATTACCGGAAGCTCTTCCAACTCATCCGAGCCACTGGCAGCAAGAAGTCTGGTGTGAGCGAAACAATCTGCGAGGATGACGGAACGCCAATCACTAACATCCATCGACGTCTTGGACGATGGGCAGAATTCTTTGAAGGGCAGTTCAACTGACCTGCTGCCCCGGCAACATCGGTCAGACTGTCCTGCCCTCCATGGCCGGTGACGACTGATCCACCAAATGAGGCGGAAGTCCGCATGGAACTCCAACTCTTGAAACGTTACAAACCACCGAGCCCAGACGACTTACCTCCGGCTCTTTTTAAAGATGGTGGTGACTTTCTGACTAAGGGACTGACGACGTTGTTTACAAAGGTCTGGGAACTAGAGAGTGTACCAACGTCATGGGATGAGTCGATAGTTGTCCCTATCTTTAAAAAGGGTTCACGTTGTTCCTGTAACAACTATCGGGGGATAAGTCTACTTCCGATTGCGTCCAAGCTATTGGCTTCCGTCATACTTCGTAGGTTGTTCAGAACCCGAGAAGGATTGACTCGCGAGGAGCAGGCTGGGTTTCGTTCTGGTCGAGGATGTATTGATCATATCTTCACCCTCCGCCAAGTGTTAGAACACCGCCATACTTATCAAAGGCCAACAATCGTAGTGTTTCTTGATATCAGGGCTGCCTTCGATTCGTTGGACAGAACTGTTCTCTGGGATTGTCTGTTGAAGAAGAGTGTGCCTGAGAAGTTTATTAACATCCTAAAAGCCCTATACACAAACACCTCAGGCAGAGTGAGGGCATACAACCACCTCTCTCCATTGTTCCATTCAAGCAGTGGAGTTAGGCAGGGTTGCCCAATCTCACCCCCAAATGCCCTGGTATGGGCGAGAGTGGGGGGGGGGTCCGCTCCTCCTCTCGAAATGCTCTCACATGGCCACGCGTATACAGCCCCTGCCAGGGAAGTCCTACTCACTGCCTTCTCGTGGCGGGGGTGTTGTTTACGAAAATGAGAGGACGAAAAGCGAATGTCCGGCTCTATAACCGGATCCTAATTCTATGGTGCACATGGGCTCCAGTATCCTGCGGGAACAAATGGCGTATGAACCAACTTTTGGTCACCGGCTTCCATGGGACTGCATCTCCTCACGATGCTCCACTGCCTTGTGGACTAGACCTTTAGGTCAAAGGCTCGGGGTGTGGCCCCCCTAAGAAAACCACCTGCTTCGGTTTGGGCACCCGAGCAGTATCACAGCCCTCACACATATCAAATGAGATCTGTGTGGCGCATATGTATTTGGTGCCTTCTTGTACCGATATCTATGTGTTAAATTAAAATAAATAAACCATTCCTCTTCAACTTTGCCATCGATGACATTCTGGAAACAGCTCTGATGTATGTAAGTAAGGGTGGTGTAGATCTGTTGCCTGGAGAAAGACTTCTCGCCCTTGAGTATGCGGATGATATTGTCTTACTGTGCGATAATGCCCAAGCTATGCAATCCGCACTTAATCAGTTGGCAATCAGTGCCCTTAGGTATGGTATGTGCTTTGCTCCTTCGAAGTGAAAAGTACTCCTACAAGACTGGCAGGATTCTAATCCTGTACTCACTCTGGATGGTGAGCAGATAGAAGTAGTCGAGAAGTTCGTGTATCTGGGTAGCTGCATAAGTGCTCGTGGTGGCGTGAGTGATGAGATCAATGCACGTATAGTGAAAGCCAGAGCGGCTTATGCCAATCTGGGCCATCTTTGGCGCCTTCGTGATGTTAGTCTGGCTGTAAAAGGTCGGATCTACAACGCGACGGTGAGAGCAGTTTTGTTCTATGCTTGTGAAACCTGGCCTCTCCGAGTTGAGGATGTTAGACGACTCTCTGTGTTCGATCATCGTTGTCTCCGAAGGATTGCTGACATCCAGTGGCAACACCATGTCAGTAATGCAGAGGTCCGGCATCGTGTGTTCGGTCACAGAGACGATAATGAAATTGGTGTCACCATGTTGAAACACCGACTTCGGTGGCTTGGACATGTTCTACGAATGTCTTCCCAGAGAATTCCTCGTCGTGCATTATTTGCCGACTCTGGGACTGGTTGGAGAAAGCGGAGAGGTGGTCATTATATGACATGGTGTCGTGGTATGAAAGAAAGCTGCGAAAGGCTGGCTTGTGTTGGTCCTCCACAACTCCCTGGCTGGGGTCCGAGACACGGTGTAACGCAGTGGCTAGAGACGTTATCAGATATGGCTCAGAATAGAAGCCAATGGCGATCCTGCTGTAACCTTCTTTTACTTTCTTCATAAAAAGTGGTTGTATCTTCCTTAACTGAAAGATTTCTTCCGATTGTACCTTTCCGTTTTCCCCATCATTGTTCTCTCTCTTTTTTTTATAATTCCCCACGTTCATTACTTTTTTTTTTATATATTTTTTTCTCCTTCTCTTCAAATTATCATTGTTTTGTGTGGCGCATATATATTTGGTGCCCCCCTGTACCAATATTTATGTGTTCAAATAAAAATAAAACAAAAAAAAATCTAAGTTATGCAGTTTTATTTACTCACTAGTCATTAGTTTGAAGATAAATTTATACAATTTTTATTAGGAAGCTAATAATCTGTGTAATCAGATTAATTGTAAGTGATGTAATAACTCTTTTATGATTTTAAATTAGTATCATGCTATACATATTGTAAGTTAACCAAAAGTAATCATGTCTATCATGTAATTTCTAATCAGTGGTCAAACTTAATCATTCATACTCTCTATGAAATGTTTATTCAATCTTCTATGTGGTTTTAGATGCATATTACTTAAAGAGATACTCTTAAAACTAGAATAAAACAGATATCCTCTAATACTTTGTATTTTTCAATAATTCTACTGTTGGTCTCAATTCACAATGAAATTCGACTTTTGTTCTATTTCTACTCACTTTTCAATTGTTTTTACAGTTGTATATAAGATTAGCAGTAGGTAGTCATAAATTCCCACATATTACATAGTTTATAGATAATCAGTTGGAATTCGTAGGTTTTCATGTTAGTTGACACTCAACAGCAAGATATGGTGTTTTCAGTTTTAAAGGAACTATTGAATTCTTATATGTTTTGGACCAGTATCATTGGTGCACATCAAATGAATTACATCGATGTTTTAAGTCATTTTGTATAGTGTTATTGAATTGCAAATTGGTCTCTAGAATTCGATTAATATTACAAGGCCTAGATAAAATGATATTCATCCCTATTCAGTTTGTTTGTAAACTTCACAGTCAAGATTGAAGCCCAACACCACCAAGAAAAAAGTCAAAAGTGTCCCAATGAAGATTTGACATCAATTGATAAAGTTAATTAGTGTTTAACCTTAAGTTATGTAAGGCAATCCATGCTACCTTGTTTAGCATTCAAACAATAATCAATAATCACCCTGCTTTAAGGCTTGATGTGATATGATTTAAAATTGCTCTCAATATCCTAAATTTATTCCCTATATTCTGCTAGATCCCTTTTATGTACCTCATTCTTGTCTTTTATTCCTTCTTTTCAAGCTATACTCTCCACATCTAAACTTTACCGATGTAGATTATAAGGCAATTTTGAATCAATGGAAATCTGTGTCAGATGATCTCGCACTTTTTATGACTAGCAACAACTGTACTAATGATTTAGAATATATGTAGTTCAGGATCACAATTTTGAAAAGTGTTTTATTTTCTGAGTTGAATGGTTTGTTTCGTACAGTTTTCATTGTTTTTTTCATAAGTGCATACTTTTGCTGATAATGTTGTTTAAACAGACAATGAGAACTATACAAATTATTCGTATTAAAGTGTGTGGTAATGGGAAGTCAATGAAAACTGCCTGAATGAACTAATCAGTTCAGTGAAAATATCTTTGATAAAACAATTATGTAATATAATGCATCTAGTGATTATACTTTTATGTAGATCGAGATTTGTTTTTTATTTCGATTTATTTCATTTCTCATTATTATTATTATTATTACCATTATTAATTAATTAATTATTACTTGTTTATTTAGACTGTTGACGTTAGAGCGACAGAGAAAATTATACAGAAATTATTAAAAATTATCAATTCATTAAAACAGCTACTTATTCGTTGTGCTATTGATTCAACATCGAATGCTTTTATGGCTAAAGAAACCTGTTTAATGGCATTAAATGATGCAACAAAATTTGGATGTGATCAACGCATTGATGCAGCTTGTCAATTATTTCAGGTGATATTTAATTAAAGTTTATTGTAATTATTTTTTCAAGTGATTAATATTAAATGATTAATTTGTAATTTATCATAATATAACTAACTTTTTACCATTTGATATGTTATCTTGTGTTGTTGAGTCGATACCTATATAGTAGTTAAAATATTCTGTTTTCATCTGGTAAGTCATACATTTAAACTGTGCTAATTAATCACGTACTTCTATTCGTTCACTGTCGAAATGCTCTCACATGGCCACGTGCATACAACCACTGCTAGGGAAGTCCTACTCACTGCCTTCTTGCTGCAGGGTGTTGTTTACGAAATTGAAAGGACGAAAAGCGAATGTCGGGTGCTTTAACCGGGTTGATGGATATAAATGATCCACCTAGGGAAGTTGGAAAACCCTGATTCCAAACCAGTGGTGCACATGGGCTCCAGTTCCCTGAAGGGACAAGTGGCGTATGAACCAATCTTGGGTCATCGGTTACCATGGGACTGCATTTCCTGACGTTGCTCCACTACCTTGTGGATCAGACCTTTAGGTCGAAGGCTTAGGGTGTGGCCCTCTAAGAAAACCACCTGCTTCGGTTTGGGCACCTGGGCAGTACCCAAGCCCTCACACAAATCGAATGATTTATGTGGCGCATATGTATTTGGGGCCTCCTTGTACCAATGTTTGTGTGTTTAAATAAATAAATAATCACTCAGAGTATAAGATGGCCTTGTACATACAATGATACTCAAAACTGTACTTAATTACATCATATTTAGTGAGTATTGTATTGTTTATACTTGGTTTTGCAAAAATTAAAATATTGTTGTTAACAAAGTTGTTGAAGTGATGTGATTATTATTAGTGTAGTGAACAAAAACACCAATGGGGACAATCGAATGTATTTAGGCACATAATTACAGAGCGTCTCAATAAAATCTGAGAACCATATATTAAATCGTTAATTTGCAAAATATCAATCCATCATATGAAACTTGACTGTTCCTGTTGCAAACATCAATCGATTGTCTCAGATTTCATTGTTCATGCGTTTTCATACAAATTGCATTGTGTTCCCGCTCATCCTTTCTTGATCTTCCCCCATCTTCTGCTGCCAGACATTACGTTCTTAACTCGCGTCATTAAAGCAATCGATTCTTAATTAATAAGTTATAGGTTCAAATTCTCAGTCCATCTACTTTGAGCTGAACAATTACTATTGATCTTATAGAAAGTATAACTCGAGGTCGTGTATACAAATATGTACAGAGTTACTGAGTTATATAAAAAAGTTTTCAGAGGAAAAGAATGGTAAATATTGCTTAAAAGGTCACTTTCTCAACTATAAAGTAAATAGTTGAGTGTTGCACAAACAACATACTCTCCCTTCAATACAAAAATTGATATTTTATCCACACCATAGTTGAGTACACGTTGGTAATGGTCAGATAAATTTTTTTGAATTCGTGCCAATATTTTGCTAGTCGCTAACTCACTTAAAATACCAAATCTCTATCCATCATCTTACTATTCCTACCATTAAAGTGAGGACAATCTTTCAATTTTTCTTGTCTGAGTAGGAAATGTCAACTAAAAAAGTATGTATAATCGAATTATCATATTTCATATCTATCTTTATTGTTTATTTAAACATATGAATATCCTAACTGATTGTACCAACTTCTGAAAACTTGTTTTTTCGAATTATCCAATGATCAATTATTGCCAATATTCGAATGTTCAAAATAACTAATAATTAGTTGGAATTAGTGTAACTTATCTACTTAGTATAGAATTATGTAAACTCAACCTTGAGTTGTTATACAATTTGTATGATTTTTGATAGTGTTGTCATACTACTACTTACTACTACTGTGGTGTATGCCACTTATATCAACAGACATAAGTAGTATATAACACTAATCAAAAGTGGAAAACCGGGGAGCAGGAGACTAAGACGATCGGGTTGAAGAGAATAGAATGGAAAATCTAAATGAATTGTTAGCTTGAAGAATCGTAAAGAATGTGAAGGACAAGTGATGGAAATTTACAAGTGAACTATTCGGTGTATGATTTTTATATTTTACCAATATACTCTGTCATTTTGTATTAAAATCCATCGGTTGTCTGCACCTGTGTTTCCAACAATATTACTACACTGCTGTTATCCTCCTCTCAAAAAGCAACGTAATTAGAATGATGAAATTCCATTCTACAACTTATAATTCTTTAATGCTCCATGAAACATTAAAGAAATGCTAAATTCTTCATCTTAACTTTTATTTTATTCCTCTATACCTTATTTTTTCTACATTCAGAAACGTTCTGTATCTATGATATCATCTGCTTATCAATTATGTTCATTGAGTACAGATGAAGAATGTTGCAGTAAAATTCAATTAGCTTGTCAACAAATTGAACAACTTGTTCCACAATTAATTAATATAGCTTATTTACTATTTAAATATCCATCTTCTAAGGTAAATTGTACAATTTTACTCATTTGTCAATATTTTTTTAAAATAAAAGATTGCGTAATTGTTAGCGTAGCATAGATTAGATTAACGCATATTCCGCTCAGGATTGTGTCGAGGTGCTTTGATTGGCTGCTTCTTAACCAATCAGCGCTAGCAGATACTTGAAGAAGATTTTAGAATCTTATGTAAAAATTATTATGATTCCTACTTGCATCCAACCTTTCTTATTTAGAATATAATTACGTTGCTGTTCAACCGTGCTCTGATTCGGAGACTTGTCGAATAAAGTGAAGTGTCCAAAAAATACTAAGCAATAATAGTAGCTGAGTGGTAATAAGAGAGACCATAACAGTAATGTAGGTTAAAGCTAAATTGATTGTAATTAGTTAGAATTAATAAATTATTAATCTGTTAATGGATGAGTCCACTGTTCTGTTCATTAACTATGCTAACTTTGATTGATCCACACCATTTCTTGTCCAATTAAAACATGAAAAAAGACAGCTAATATATTCTCTTTATATTATGCCTTAAAATTCACATGACGATAATATAAATGAATTACAGGATCAAATGTACAATACAATCAATGAACACCACAATTTGTACATAACTAAGAGGATATTTTGTAGTACAATACTGAGTAATAAATATCTAATTAATTTACTGTAATTTATGAACGATAAGAGATCATATCAACAGTTAGTGAGTTAAGTAAAAGCTAAACAGTCAGAGCAATATAAAAATACTATAAACCAAATATTTGCTAAGTGCATAATGGAAAAAATATGTATAATAATAATTCACCGAAGAAAAGTTTTCAAAATTTCACCTTCATTCATTCATGTCTAACTAGTTGGAATAACGTGTATCATTAGTTTATCATTTAGTAATTGGTATATCACGAAATAAAAAAAAACGAATAACGTAATAAACCTGTAATCAGTTGCCACTTTTTTGTATGAAGAATAGTTATTTATTATGCTCAGGTTAATCTGATCTCAAATTTTACCAGTAACATTTTTGTTCATTTTTATATTTTAAATCGAGATCATGAATTGATTAATGTAAGACCACCATTAAAAACCTGGATGCATTGAACGGTCGTTTCGTCCTGATTTGGGACCCCTCAGCAGTCCAGTCCTTCCAGGTTTTCAATAGTGGCCTAACATTGGTCGGTTCATGCTCTCAATTAAAACTCAACAATCTTCACAACTCGATACATTTTTATATTTGTTTTTTTGTTTGTTTTAGTCTGTTGAATTAAATTATGAAGCATTTCGTAAGGTATATGAAGAGTCGGTCAATTTACTGTATTCATGTGTTAATGAGTTAATTGGTATGCATGATTTCTTAGCTGTATCCGATGATTTAATGTTGTTGGAATATCAAAGATCTATTCGTGCTTTATCGGTATGTAGTTTTAATTCTGTTTATATTTTCCTTTTCATTTAAAAAAGCTGTTGCTGTACGTATTCGATTTTGAATTGTCGGATTATTGATAGTTATTGGAGTAGGTATATAGATTAATTAAGACCTCAGATAGAAACTAATTTCTTTTACTTTGTTTGCTACTACTCAATAGTTTGTTTGTCTTGATGGCTCAATCTTGTTATATATTAGCCAAAATATTCGTTCCTTAAGGTCCCATCATCTTAGGCAGACAGATGTAGTTAGATACCGTAAGAGGATTGTATTGTTGGTTGTACCGGGTTGTATGGTGTAAGTAATGGGTTTCCTGTTGAAAAGCAGTATAGTCGTAGGTACTTCCTTCCCGATTACTTGAGAAGAGGTTGGACGAGATCAATCTGAAAAATAACATCCTTTTTTGGATCACGTTGCAGGCGGTTAGGCTTGAAAGGTAGAGAGCTTGTTGGACAAATAAAAAATACTAACAAATGTGACTCTTGCTACTAGGCTCAAGGAGTTATCTTTTGATTCTTATTGTGGTTGCACTTTCAATCCGATCAAATCTTTAATACTTATCCAGATTTTTTAAGCGAGTTTCTTAAAACAAAGTATTTCACGATGTTGTTTATTGGAATGTTTCACTCGTCCATACATACTTTCAACAGACTGAATTATTATTAAGTCCTGTCTAGTCCCAGTAAGTTAATTAATGACATTATCCAGTTTATGTCTTGTATTTCATCTCTGGTCATAGTGGTGACTACACATAATACCCGATTCAATTATTGAAGCCTTGAACAGTTATTAAATCTCGATGAAACGTGAGGAGTGGTAATACTGTGGTGAAAATCGAAGCGTTATTGACAATGAATTGAAATATAATTATTGAATGAAACTATATATTTTGTCAAGGTTTTCACAGACTGAAACATGTCAATTCGCATTCGTAAATTAGTTTTCTGGGCAAACTAAATCGTCTTCGTATCGTATTATGTTTAGCTGGAGTGAAATTTGTGTCATACATGTGATGTATGCTACTTGGGTTGAAGGATATAAGTAATACGTAACACCATCCAGAAGTGGAATGCCTGTCAAAAGAGAATTGAGAAGATTGGATTGGAAAGAACCGAAAGGGAAACAGAAAGGAATTTTAATAAAAACAGAATTGGAAGAATCATAAGTAATGTAAATGACGACTGATGGAAGATGTACAAATTAAGTATTTAATGCATAGTTTTCATAATTTACGGATATACTGTAATTTTGCACTAAATGATAAATTGGTTTTCTCCACCTGATTGTTCGTTCACCACATATATCCTTACATATACAGTCAGTGGATCCGGGAAATTTTTCATCTGGTCTCTGAGTTGTTTATTATCGGTGATGGGAATGAATTCTCATTCAGTTGATTGGTTTGTAATAATTTATCTAGCATAAACTGACACCATTCGAAGATTAATTTCATCTCCCTGTGCTAACGTAGTATAGCAACTTAGGCTAATATACATTTGTACTATGTTCTACTTTACTTACTTCCGACTGAACGACACATCTGACGAACCATTGAAAAAACATAAACCACTGGACACCTGTTTCCTATTTTAAAACTTTGTCTCAGTGTACACTTATCAATTCATACTGTTTCAAACACAAAACCTTTAAATCTCACACTGAGCACGATATCTTTAGAGTTCACTGAATCAGTAATCAAGTACTCCAAATTTTCTGTTCCAATCACTCCACGTCATGAGGACGATGTACCAAGTAAACCGGACAAATACATATGCTCATAAAAGGCTTCATAGTAGGAGTTCTATTTTGAGTAAATGAATTATTCATCTTATCAAGGCACATCTTCCAAAGCAATGTTGATTTAGTCTCTCAACGTAATAGGGAGAGGGTGCTGGTCAAACCATAAATAACTGAATTAGATCATAGAACACAACATATAACGTGAATTCTAATATTATTAAAGTTATTCAATAGTGAGTTGAATAATATATGTAATGTGACTGGCTTATATAAGTTTGTTCGAGTTTCACATATTCAGTGGACAACTCATTAATTAATTAATCAGATTTGAGTTATTGTATTTGTATGGAAGCTCGTAATATTCGTTGGCTGCTCAAATATATATATATATATATCATAAGTTAGAACGATCATTCTTCTCTAAACTGTGGATTTTCCTCAAGAAAAATTATCTAAATTACTTACGTTTTGCCTGTTTTAATCATTTAACTAATCTAAAATAAATCTACAATAGGTTGGCCCAACTATTTTTCTTAAAAGAATTAAACTATATAAACAGTTATTTATTTATTCAAAATAATCAGTGATTCTTGATCATAACATTTATCAATGTTGTTACTTCTGTGTGTGTGTGTTTGTGTAAATTAACTGAGTTCAGGACATCTCATTAACCTTGCTTATAATCGAATCAGATGGTAAATCATTTTTATGAGTATTTATGAGATTCCATTATAGAGGTAGGTAATAAAAATTTCAAAGTAAACAATGATTATTTATTCATTATAGTTTGCAAAGTGGTAGTTTATTAGTTAGGGTATTCAGTTTTTAACCACCAAGTCTCAAGTTCAAACCACTTTCCATCTACTTCAGTTTAAGCTGAAGGGTTGTATCACCAACCACTTATACTTAAAATATAACTCTAAGCCAAGTAAGCGAGTCTGTACCTGGTCTGGCTGTAGCTTCCAATTCGGCTTAGTGTTTGATCTCGCATATTATGATAACCCATTAAAAATATTTTGGCTAGGACACTTGTTCTTTGTGGTCCTACCATGTCTCTAAGGTCGAGTAGAGAATGATAAGTCTAAAAGCAATTTGCTCAAGGTTCGAGAACGAAGTTGTACTGCTGACTGTATTGGGATGTGGTAACACAAAGGTGTATCTTTCAGACAACCAAGATCTACAATGACGAAAAAAACGTGTTAGTAAAGGTCGGCCTTGAAAACGGTACACCTTTTTTCGCCCCATAGATTTCCATCAGTGACAGAGTCTTTCACAGTACAGAGATAGCACATCATTTATATGACCTCATCTTCAAGTAGTTATCGATTGTGTCCTACAATTACTCTTTTAGATCTTCAAGATCATTACTAATCCAATATCGTTTTCATTTATCTCATAATGTAGTATTCTTCCAATAATATATGAGCAACTAAAAAATGGCTACCATCCACACGACTCTAACAGGACTATTCTGTACATAGTAAATAAGTTAAATTATTTTTCAATTATAGTTCAAACTTTAATTTGTACTTTTTTCATTGTCATCTTTTTTTCTAATAAAAAAAACAAACAAACAATTTATAGGATAAAGATGAATTAAGCGTTCAACAAACATCAACATCAATGCAACAACGTTCAGCTTATATTTGTGAAGTAATATTAAATAAAATGATTGCACGAACTGAGAACAATGAATATGTTGATCAGGTGATGGAAAAAGTTACATTAATACGTGATCAAGTATGTTAAATAATTAGTAGGAGGAAATATTGCACCTTCTATATTTGATTGTTAAAATTAGAATTGATTACATCTTAAAAAATGATTTCATTGTTATGGTTATATTTCATTCTGGTATGATTTATTATCAATAGTTCTTGTTTATAATGTTATGAGAGTTCAGAGCTCATGAATTTAGGTGTAACGATAAAGTCTACTATTGTTAGTTCGTTGAATTAGTGTCCAACAGTCCATATTTTTCTATTTCAATCAATTCATAGTATAATACAATAATCATTCATTACCATAATTATGGATAATTGTCTCATTGTTTTGACATGATTGAACTCTTCTACTCTATTAGTAGACCACATTGAGATCCAATCAATGGAACTCGGTTAACACTAAAGGACTAGATGAACGTGATACTGACTAATACTCAGTGATTAATCAATTGTAAATCTCTCAATCATACACGAAGTCACTGGCATCCCACTAAAGCTCATTTGTAAAGTCTCAGGCTGTGAAACTGGTTAGTCCCAGTTGAAATTCACCGTCAAACTTTATTTCTTGCTAACGAGTACCAATTAACACGAAGCCTAGGCTCACATTCTCTTGTTGACCTCTTTTTAATGATCTAATCATTCTACTAGTCACAATTTATCACTTAACTTTATCTCAACGTCAGTGATTAATGAGCATTACATAATTATTACCAGTTCCAAGGCAATTGAGAGTTGCATGACGATTAGCTTTGATTATAAAGAGTTTTTGTAAGGAAATAGCAGTGTGTACTTACAATTTGCTTATTTGTTTCTTTAAAAAAATAATTGTTGGACTTATCATTAAGTGGACTAGAGGTTGAACAAATCATAAGTTGAAGTGTTCGGGCGCGAAACTGAAGGTTCTGGGTTCGATTACCAAGTGCAGAATTGTGAATGCAACTGTTGAGGTACCCCATACTCGGACAAAACGGCCATCCAGTGCTTCCAGGTTTTCATCGGTGGTTTTACTTAGATAGGTTCATTATTTCAGTGAAATTTAACCGTAACTACAACTCCATACTGAAAATCGCATTCTAGGTATTACAGTCAGGATAGTCAGTGGTAAGAAAATCGATAAATCGGAAATAGGTTTGTTACAAAAAAAACAAATTAAATTGTAAGTCGTGTGTTACTTGGTTATAAATGAATTATATATTGCAGAATAGATTTTCTAATTCTTTCATTTTCCTTTACTTTGGTTAGAAAGACTCGTTCACTACGCGTCGTGGAAGTATTTCTCGATGAATGATTCATGAAGATATAGTCCTAGATAAGCACCCAGTAAACAAATATTTAATCAATCAAAATAACTTGCCTCATTTTTATTATTTCAACTAAATCAATAGTATAATGTGGTATTTGAAAAATACAAACGAATTAGTGTAAGAATACATAGAACATACATAGAGCAGGATAGACACATGACTAATGATTTGATAAGTTTAATGTTCGATCACTTTACTTGTTTTATTCTGATGAACTGGATGTTTTACACTTCATTAGGATAGAGTGGAAATTTAAACAGTTGAAAATCCCAGGCATTATAAGAGTTGGATGGTGGCTGACGTAGAATCCAGGGCTCGCGTTTCGTCCTATTTAGGACTTGTCAGACGGTTGTATCTGCTTATAATGTCTGTGACTTAAGGCAATATCGAGGTCATCCCGCACAGGATACACATATGTCAATAAGAGACTGACCAACTACTGTCCTAAGCATCAATCAGGAGATTCATAAACAACCAATATAAAAATCAGTTAAAAATTCATCTATATCAATTCTTCACACAAAAGGCAATAAGCTTTGTTCATTTTATAAATAGCCTTATTTTTTAGTGAACGAAGTCTTCGTGACGATAATCTATCTGTTGTTTAACGCAAAACTACAGTGTCCTCGTGAACTATGAAAACCATGCATTAAATACTTTATTTGTACATCTTCCGTCAGTTGTCTGTTACAAACTTCATCATTCTTTCATTGATGTTGTTGTTACAATTAATCTCTGTTTACATTACTATTCTCTTCAATTCGATCTTTTTAACCGTCTGCTGCCAGGTATTTCACTTGCGATTGGTGTTATATACTACTAATATCTGTCACCATAAGTAGCACACACCACAATTTTACATGTGTAGAAATGCTAAGTCTTGTTTTTAAGTTTCACTTTTAGTTTATCTAAGATTAATAACATTTGATTTCATCGAGTTTTGTTTTGGATTACTCTTCTTTTTCTCTATAAAACAATTTCATAGTATACTCCAGATTTTGTGAATATCGCACGTAATACACTTAGTCGTTTAGCTGCTGGTCAGTCAGTCGATGAAAAAGCCTATCGCTACTCAGGTCATGCTTTATGCAATGGTGTACATGATCTACGATTAACTGTTTTAAATGAATGTGATCTACCATTTGATAATGATATTGAGTCATTAAATTTACAAGACAATCACGGTAATGTTGATAATCTCCAACCGTCGTCGTCTTCTCTGCCTCGTCTGCCTTCACCTCCTCTCCCTCATAATAATTATTATCATCGTCATCGTGATCAACATTCAAATGACAATGAACAAACAGAAGTTTCAGTCGGTTCAATGAAAGATAAACAGAGATCAATAAGAGAAATGGACAGAGTCAATTCAATGTTAGAAAATAATTCCACTTCTAATTATAACCATAAATCTCGTAAGTATTTACCGCATAAACGATAATGATATAAAATAAAGTTTTATTTTTATTTCATTCATGTGAACCAATTTTGTAATTTCTTCCTTTATTTAGAGAAAGCTGTGTTCATTCTAATTTTTTATTGTTCAATTGGATCCATTATGCAAAAAGTTTGTTTCTCTATTGTTGCTTTTTTATCGAGAGTATTTTCTTGTTTACGTTTCGATAAACTGTCTTTCACTGTTTCTTTCTCTCTCTCCCCTTAGATACTATTACTATTATTGTTAGTATGATTATTTTTCAGTGAAATTAGTTTTTCGTAAACTTTCATATGACATATTATAAATATGTATATTTGTACATGACGGTAGTTCTTGGTTGAAATTAATGTTATCGACAATTCATTTATTTAATAAAGGTCAATAAATAGAAAAGGAGAGAGACATAGAATAATTCCAGTGTTATTTATTATAAATGTTTTTATCTGTTGAAAGATGAATAAATGTGTATAGGTCGCTGGTTGGAACATTACCACAATTCGGTCTTTTTTTTCTCTCTTTTTCTTTTGATCATTATCAACTTCAGGTTTGTCAACCGTTTCGTGATTCGTCATCAGATTTAGTTACAGTCACGTTCTTAACGCTTAAATAACTCGTAGTTTGATGGAGGAATATCGAAAGTCCACAAGAAGTTTTATTTTCAAAAGTTGAATAGTAATGTTTACACTTCATAAGTATTTAGAAGTCATCACACCAACATGGACGATTAAATAATTACCTTGGTTGAATTTATATTTCGCTTATCCATGATATTCCACTTACAATTGTATTTATCTCCCCCTAAGATAATCTGACCAACTTCGCTCGGCATATCACTTTCCTTTATTGAGGAAAGTAAGTCTTCTTAGGATTCTGTCGTATGAATATTTTGATACATCATAACCTCAAATTGTGTATAGATAAAAATGATAATGTTTCTTCTTCCACAGTATCTCCTTTAAACTTAATGTTTGTAAAGAAGATCTTCTTTGGTGCTACAGATGCTTTCAAAAACACCATACTTAGACCAACAATTGACAGTTTCTATCCATACAAAAGATATTTGGATGATACGTTCATTATTTATGACAAAAATATAAATTTCAAGACATCTTAGACAAATTCAATAACTGTCACCAATTCACAATGGAATCATAGTCGGATTCGAAATTTCACTTCGATGTTTTGTTAGAAAGGAAAACTGATGATTCTCTACAATAATCGATATATTTAGATAGCCAACTTAGAATGACTAGTATACGAATCGCAAAGTTGAATAACATTGAAACTAAAGAGAAACCTGATCCATTTTTTATTCACGAGGGTCAGACGAATTTGTATCAACGATGCAATGAACATCGAACTTGATAAACTATGGCTGATACTAATGAACAGTGAAAATTCACATATATTCGTTGAGGAAAATTTGAATCCAAGACAACAACTTGGAAAAGTGTTCAACGCACCAAAGAAGGCTTTTTGTGAACATTCATTTTAAAAGAGATACTGTAGCCGGAGAAATTCGAAGTAAAGCAGACGTTCAAAATCTCTGAGAAAAATATTCTATTGAGCTAAACTTCATATCGGCTTTTCTAATCCGCCTTTGATTCGTAGTTGTGTGAATAAAATGATAATAATAAAAGAACACAATGAATAAGTCTTAGTAAATCAAATCTCATTATGTGAATATCCACTGTTTGAATTTGGGATCTTAATTCAAAAGTTCAAATCTATCTTTAAGAAGTTGAACTGTATTGTGGTGTATGCTACTTTAGTCTGTCGACATAAGTAGTATGTAATACCGATCGGAAGTGGAAAACAGGGCAGCAGAAGGTAAGAAGATCGAGTTGAAGAGAATAGAAGGGAAAATAGAAATGAATTGTAAACTGGGAGAATCTTAGACAATATGACGGACAAATGATGGGGATTTGCAAATGAAGCATTCAGTATATGGTTCTCATATTGTACCAACAGATTCTGTAATTTTGTCTTAAAAATAGTTTAGTTGTCCCCAACAATGTTCTCGTTCACAACAGTATCAATCAATTGCAAGGAATAAATACTTTATTTAACATTCACAATATATTGCCTTATTGATAGAAGAAAAGTGGACTTAAAAATAAAGCCAATCATTTATGAATTCCTAAATCGTAATTTTTTTAAAATAGTTCAGTTCTTATTAGTATAATTATCAGAAGGGATTGTGTGGAGATTTTAGAAATTTCACTGGTTGAAATCATGAATCCATTGAAGCTAGACCACCATGGAAAACCTGGAAGCACTGGACGGCCGTTTCGTCCTAGCATGGGACTCCTAAGCAGTGCGCATCCACGATCCCGCTCCTCGCGAGATTCGAACCCAGGACCTGTCAGTCTCGCGCCAGACGCTTAGCCAACTAGACCACTGATCCGGCATCCATCGTGGGTTCGAATCTCGCGAGGAGCGGGATCGTGGATGCGCACTGCTGAGAAGTCCCATACTAGGACGAAACGACCGTCCAGTGCTTCCAGGTTTTCCATGGTGGTCTAGCTTCAATGGATTCATGATTTTAACCAGTGAAATTCCTTATTAGTATAGTTGAATAAAATACTGAAAAGGTATTAAACAGAACAATTCTTTGTTTTACCATGTTCTTTAATTTTTACAAATCATTACAAAAGTTTCTCTTTCAGCATATATGCTATATATGTATATCACAAATTGTGTTGTTATAGTAACGTACTTTTGACTTGAATCAAAGTGAATAACAAGAAATAATAATATGACATATTTTAAATGATTCAATGAGCTACATTCAAGAGAACTTTTTGATTGAAGGTCATCAAATAAAATAAATTTAAAAATATAAGAGTTCAGTTAATGTTTATCGTATGCAATGAGAACTTAGATGGTATTTCATATATCTATTGTCCTAGGTATAAATATAAGAATCACTCTAGACATAGTATGTTTTCAGTCAATCTTTTGAAGTATTAAAATCTTTATACAATCGTCTAAACACATATAATTTAACTATTAGAATTGTAAACTTCAAAACCACTCTCCGTCCACCTTGGTTTAAACTATTGAATGCTGTAATAATAAATATATTTTTTGTTATATCTTAATGAGTAGAAAAAATGTTTTTCTGACGTTTCGTGACTTAATGTAAGCCACTTCTTCAAAAGAAAAAAATAACCGAGTGGTGTGATTATCTTGTAGACCTTGACACAAGATACATAATTAATTAAAAGCGTTGTGTGTTTAATTCTCTAGCTAAATTTCAATACTTAACACTTGAAGATTTATTGTGACATTATGTGTAACAGACTAGCAGTATGCAAGTAGGTAGATACACATGTAATACTAATAATAACGATAACAACCGCAAAAATCTAGATAGTGTTTTGCGTAATAATTGTTTAATTCAATTTAAATGAAACAAGGCGAAAAACAAAATGATACAGTTAATATAAAATTACAGGATAATTAAAATGCTAACAATTATTAATAACACCGATACTAATACTACTAGCATCAAAATAAGTAATAAGTTCACATGATACATAGTTATAAAACAATATCACTTAGTTACCGATCTACTGTTTATTTTAAGAGATAGAGTGGATAAATCATACTTAATTTGTTTTCAATTCATAACCAGTGTTATTAAGTTGAACATTATATTAAAATAATTAAGGAATGATAATTCTAATATAATTAAGAACACTTCCAGCTATTAGATCCATCAATTACTCATACACCCTTCTCTATATTTCTTGTTGACTTTGGTTTAAACAGTCTAATTAGTAATACAATAGTCTTTACATCAAATAATTCAGTTCAATGTTGACAGCATGATTGATTGATTCTTCAATGATCTCTTAACTGTTACATATAATAATAAGAAATTTAGTGAAGTAAATGTAGTCTAGAATCAATTCTATCTCAAGATCTCATTGTGTACACATTGAAAAATGTGAACTAAACTGAAAATCAATTTAATTTTTAAACGGTCAGTAACAAACATATCTAGGCCTAAGGTTCTTGTGAATACCATTCATAATAATTTTTGCGATACCTCAAAACTGTACACAACTAAGAAGCGTATTTTAAAAAAAAATTGTAGCACACATTAAACAAACTGTTCATTTTATTTTGTTTTGTTTCAATGTGTCCACTTGTTGTAAATCAAATGATCTCCGGGTTAAATGTGGGTAGATAATGTTGCATTTAACGTGTTTTTGTTACTTAATATACAAGTAGATTAATTCAATCTGTAATGGATACATATTCTACATGTTTGTTTAAATGTGTGTATGTGGATGAGCACACACTCGTGTTTGTGAATGTGTTTATCCTTCTTGTTGTTTTGTGTAAAATCAAACAAGTTATAGTATCTTTGCAATGGAAATGATATAAGTTTTGTAGTTAACTGAATAAATCAACGCATTAAAATGTAAAGCAACAACCATTTTGTAATAAAACAATATTTAAGATATTTATCACGTTACAATGTACTTTTTTACTATTGAAAACAATGGAATATTGAACGTTTAAATCGAAATATTTGATTATAAGCAGAGACGAATGATAGCTAACAGTGGAATCCTGGACGCGCGTTTTGTCTTATTTAGGACTCGTCAGCTGGATGTACCTACATCGTAGAGTTGTTCTCCCCGGGACTCAAACAACCAATACAAAAATTTACGAAATATTCAATGTTTTACTTTACATAAAAACACACCTTTCAGGAGGTTATTAGTGACCAAACTGAAATATTCCATAAGACCATAGTGTAATAAACTGTTGAACTTTGATGTATCATGAAGTATTTTGGTTAGGCTTGGATATCTTGATGATCCATTAAGGCTATCTTTACTGGAACACCTGTTCCTGGAGTTTTTACCATGACATATGAGGACGGTAAATTGGACATTCGATTGTAAAGTGCTTTTACAGTAAAGCGTGAGTGAGTCGACTTTAAACTCGTAATTATTTGATCGAAAACAATTGAGATATTTTCACAGTTGGAAAATACGTGTCTCAGACGTTTGAATAAGCCATCAGAAGCCTATACGTTTGAGCCAAGTTCAATGTTGATTACAGTTGAAGGTTGGCTGATATACATAATGTGACATTTTTCACTGGTTTATTGACTTTACCCAACTCTAAGTACTTGTGATCACAAACTATAGTGTTTTGAGACACTTATAATGGAGCGATAAGACGAACGTGCTAACTGATATACATCACGAAAAATATTTCCAAAAAATGAAAATATTTTTATGTTCATAAGTAGTTATAGGCGAAGGAAAACATTATTTATGAAATTGAAATCTACTGTCTTCTTTTTTAATCCGCTGAACATCTAAAGTTGTTCAAGCTCATTCTCAGAATCGGTATTTATAACACAGAAGCATCGAGTTTTCATCTCTCAGATCTGGTGTTCTAAAGTTATCTTATATTTTACCATTTCAATAATTCATTCCTTCTGAAATTATATTGTCTATATATAACGTTTACTACTACCAGTGATACTATTACTACTTCTATTATCCTGATATTTTTCTTGATAATTTCGATGATGATTTATCTGAGGCGTGTTCATAAGTACTGACTATCTGGTTTATAGTCTTCTGGACAACTGCGGTTAGTTGTTGGACGCTGTCAGGTGATATGGCTCAGAGTCGAACATAATAGCATATATGCATTCACTTTTTATCTTGCTTTAAGTTATAAATTCTTTCAGACATACTTTCTCATTCCTCCTTTCCGAGTTTTATTTTGAATGTTTAGTGTTTCTCACTTTCATTACTACCGTGATTATTTTGTTTCCTGCTAGTTTATGAATGAAGTTCGGGCTAACGCATATCTGTACCAGGCTTTACGTTGATTGTAACTGATTGACTAAGTTCCATCTTTTATTGAGTGTAATCATGAAGAGAGAACCTACACTTTCTCTGATAAACTGGGTTTTTCATATTCTGTTGTTGTTTTCTAGTTGGGATCAATTAAATTCTTTCTCTGAATTCCCAAAAAGTAGTTACTACTCCTTATTCTGTATGGGAAATAGCCAAATGATGGAAAATAAATGAACTCTATTAAACGATAGTTGACTTTAATTATTTTAGTAAATTATATTTTGTTCATTATTTCTATAGTACCTAACCGATTAGCTTGCTTAGCGCCAGTTTAAGTTACATAAAACACAACAGTACTCATGTCTAATCTCAGACTAATTGTCCGTTTTGTAAATGGATCTTCTAGATTATCTAACTGGAATTTATTAAACAGTGGGCTTATAGTTGAAATACTTAACTTTCACCCACTAGGTTATAAGTTCCAATTATGCTCCACTTACCTCGAACAAATTACGTTTCCTTAATCCTTACACAAAAATGTACACGTCAAAACTAAGGACACAAACATGTACTTTTTAATGATTTATGTTATTTTAGATCATTTTATCATTATTTTATTTTTTATGTTTACTTTTATACTTATGTTACAAATTGTAACGCTTAATCTTCTGTTTAAATTTAACATTAGATTCATTTAAACAATCCACTGGAGATATTCATGCATCACAAGAAAATCAATTATCTGAAAGAAATGAAGTTTTCTCTGTATTGACAAGTCCACAACGTGAAACAATGGCTGAAGAATTAGCTGGATTTCTAGCGGAAAAAAAACGCTTTATGTGTGAAATAGTTAAATGGGATGATTCCGCTAATGATATTATTGTATTAGCTAAGAAAATGTGTGTAATTATGATGGAAATGACAGATTTTATACGTGGTAAAGGTCCATTACAATCTACATTGGATGTTATCGAGGTAAGTGATTAAGAAAAATATCTTTTCATGTACTTGACATTAGTTTTTCTATCTCTCTGATATAAAGTTGATTTTGTGAGTTATAAGTATGTAGGTTTGTTTTTGCTGAACAACATTTCCAACGGCTAATATTAGTAATATAGCAAGGAGTAGAATTTAGGATTTCTGAAGTTAGGTGACTTAATTCAAGTCATTTTATCAAAGTAAATAAATCAATAGCCGAAATTAAATGAACACAAGTTTAAATTTTTAACTGTTATTCAGATGATATTCAACTCTTCATACTAAAGGTATGCCTACAGTACTACTAACTTCAATAACTGTGTTCGATGGAAGTTGGATGGTTTTTTCGAAAACAGTATGCTTTACTAACAAAGCAATTAATTTTGAAACAGTGGTTACTTTATTCTAAATCCTAATCGAAACTGAATGCTAATCCGAACCTTTCTTGGGGTTTTTATGTAATCAATTATTCGTTTACTTTGTATTATTATTGTCTCAACACCAACTTTGCTTTCCTAAGGTCACTTTAGTAGTCACTGAAGGCCATTTGTTTCTATGCACGACCATACTATTTGTTCTACGTTTTACAGCTGTCTCATCAGCTTGTTGTAGAAAAGGTGGTACAATTTGGTGTTATTTGACCAATTTTGTGTAATCAATTCTTTTAATAGTAATACTTAACTGTAAATAATAGGCATTCTGTTTAAAATCTTATATCTACGCTATTCTTTAATTATGTATTGAACCTTAATTATGGAGAAGCATATGTTGGGCTACCATTTTTAGATTGTTTAGTTTAAAGAAATCTAAGTGGAACTCTAAATCCATCCACCTATCGAAAACCAACTCACCCAAATCGTTATATTGACTTCAATTCAATACATACATTCAGTGTAAAAATCGCTTTAGCACTTAGTCTCTTTAGAAGAACAAACGAGATTATTACAGCTGGAGAGGATAAACAAGAATAACGCGTTCATTTTGATTCTATTACATATTTTTGATGTAAAATGAAAGTGCATTGATCAATTTAGAAAAAGACCTTAGATGAGTATTTTTATTACAACAATAGTATCATCTGCATACCGCCTAATATTCCTTTATAACTTTAAAAACTCCAAATTAAATCAGCAATAGCAGTCCGTGCCATTTTTAAAAACCATCAAGTCGATATTAAAAATATCAAGATAATGCTAAAAGATTTTTCCAACTACAAAGACAGGTGAGTAACTGAAGCTTTCCATATATTGGTTAATCCTACTACCCTCAATAGAAAAGAAGGCTTCACCATCTATCCGAGCTACTACATCTGATTCTATTTGCGTCTGACACCATCATCACAAATATAAAGTCAACTCTATCTTTCTACATTACAACTATCATATTTTTCATATCGATCAACATACATACAAATACATAAGTATGTCTCATAGAGATCACTTAGATCAGAGTGAGATGACATTGATTTGGTTAGACCTGTTTCTGATTGATTGATTGATTGATTGTACTAAATATTCTTGCTTTACTCCTTTGTACCATTTAAACTTGGATTAATTTCATTTGTCTATTTATTCTTTGAAGTGTTAAAAAATTTAATCTTTCTACTCATTAGGATATTAAAAATATATTATTTTTATTAAAGAAATACGTGGTTGTTATCTATTGTAAAACCTTTTTATAGTTGTGAATTTTGTGTTACTGTGTGAGAAAATACTGACAATCGAAATTATACATAATTAGTAGGGAATTATTTTACTGAAATAAGTAGTACTCTTGGAAGATTAACAGGATTTTATTACTGGATGCATTTCTAGTGATAATCCGTTTGTGATAGTGTTATCTATGTCTGTGTCGTTGTCAAATACTGTTAGTAATGTGAATGATGAAATCGATTTACATATAAGGGAAGATGGTTATGTATAATCCGATTTGGTTCACTTTTGGGAGTGTCACAACATTCGTCTGACAGTGAAAAGCTTAATGTACAATAAGTTGGTAAAAGAAATCTAACCTTACTTTAGTGGAACCTGGAACCTGATATTTTTATACTGATGATGTATGATAATTGTATGCGTTGTTAATAGTTATCTCCGAAGTACTACTTGCACTTACTTGTAATGCCGTTTGACTACTGTTATAGTCCGACAACATGTGTTTTAACATTTTGGAGACCATCATCATTTAACCAGTGTTGTTATCTTAAAACCTCAAACTTGATTGTTTAAAAACATCCTAGGTTTCGTGTGCTTTCATATTCAACACTGTTTATTGCTAACGCTGAGATTGAATCAAAAGAGTAAAATATCATTCAGTTGATAATTTGAAAATGTAGAATGAATAAAAATTCTGTATCTCGTTAATTATGTGTTCATGGAGCAAAATTCTCAATATAAATCCTCCTATTCTCACCACTTCAGTGTATCGAGCTAAGTTTTCTACAGTGAAATAATTTGTTAATCTTCATTTTGTTTTGTTTGTTTTTATCTCTCAAATGACGATTCCATACGTTTAGGCAGCTCAAGAAATATCGGAACATGGTAAACGTCTAAATAGTCTATGCCGACATATTGCAGATATGTGTCCAGATTCAGCTAGTCGACGAGATTTATCCGCTTATTTACAACGAGTTACATTCTATTGTCATCAACTAAGTATTACTAGTCGAGTGAAAGCTGGTGTTCACATGCTCAGTGATGAAATTGTAAGTCACCTCGATGATTATTTATATTATGAATATAGACGTTACTAATTGATTGATATCAGTAGACATTTAGATATGTGGTTTTTAGTATGTGGAGTTTAATGTAAACAATACATTTAATAGTCGTCTCTCCTGATGAGTGCCAACAAGTGCGAACACGAGTTTCGTTTTCGTATCCTCCGTTCGTATCCACCCCAACATTTTTTCTTAGCTTAACACTTTATTACTAAACAAATTCAGTTGCTTCAGTACGCGTCCTTTTGACAGAATCTCATCAATACTGACTGCTAGATAAGGATGAGGGGAGAAGAGGAATGATTCTTCGTGCATAAACTACTTGCAGAAAATATAAGCGGAGTTGGTTAGTGGCTATCAGTAAAATCCAGGACGCGCATTTCGTCTTATTTTGGATTCATTAGCCGGATGTACTTGCATCCCAGATTTGATGTTCACTCCGGAACTCGAACCCAGTACCGTTTTCTTCAAATGCCGTCGCGTTTTCCACTTAGCTATTGAGTTCAGATAGCTACTCCGTAAATAATTTATGCTTTCATTGACTCAATTCAATTTCTACATCGTAATTGATTGAAGTTTTACCTAGGGTATATCACCATAGTGAGTATTACATCATTCTTAATGCATCAACATGTTTATTTTACAAGTTTTCTTAGGATGGATATTTGTTTTTTCTAAGAACTATTGATTTATTATCGTTGTTAATTAACTATTCAAATATGTAGAATTATGTATGCATTTCATGTTCAGTCCTATAACCTTTAGCACTTATTTTGAAGGAAATCTGAATTAATATGCATACTAATTAGTATTGCTTAATGAAATACACATTCACGTGACTGACCAATGATGCACATTGACTTGGTCCAATTTTGTTGAATTGCTACATTTACTACTGGGATGTATATTAGTAGTTTAAAGCATATCACAAAAATGTTTATTCGGTTGGCTGGTTTTGCACGGAAATTTTAATATCAGTTTAACTTACCATAACAGTTTATGTGGTTATTCCTTGAATAGCTACAAAGGATACTTTGCAAATTTTTTTGATGATCAGGCTATTGGTTCTGTCTAAATCACATACAGTACAGGTAAACAAAACATAAATTCGATGTAAGTAACTTATAGACTGGTTGCAGTTTTTCCGTACGATTGAACACGTCCTTTCTGGTATTCCTTTTCATAGTCCTCCTATGTCACGTGTAGTTAGTGATCACAGAATATCATGCCATAAATCAATTTGACTGGAACACTTCATTATTTGTTGTCAAGATCCAGTTCTATCGTCCTAAAACAATTACCAACTTCTTTTTACCTAACTATTCGGGACATTTAATTTATGAGTAAAAAACTGTATTACACCTGATTATCAGTATTTATTGAGTTTGGAAACATTTTAGCATAATTTATCAACTCAACTTGGATCCTATAACTGACTTCTTGATTGAATGTCAACTAATTTCAACTCATAGCTTAATATAATTCACGCTTTACAAACGTACAGCATAAACAATTTCTTACACTTACCTTCACTAAATGTATGGACATCATCATACTCGTCAATATTATTAGTTATAGCTTGTACACTTGTGTCGGAGTTTGTCTGAGACGATAAAGCAAATATTATCACGTTTGCGTGCAAAATAGACTGGTTTCTGAAATATCTTGATAATGACAAAAATATAGTTAAAAAGCATTGTATATTAAAAGCTTCATCACATCTTTTACAAGTCTTGGGTTCGACCTCTGTGATATCATAAATATTCAATGTTCATAAGTGTTATACGAAAATGACAGAATCATTCAGTACCGCCCATATACCTGAACTGATATCAATCTGTGATGAATACAACTTACAAACACAGTTGTTGTTCGTTACACCAGAATTGTGAGAACTTAAACTTGAAATCTCTAACTTAGACTTTAAAACTATTATAGACGTGTGGCTTAATGGTTAAGGCTCTCGTCTTCAAGCAAAAAAGGTACATGTTTTATTTCTCTTTATATTAAAGTTTGGAAAACTGAGTAGTAAACCATCAGTTCTCATAAAAATTACATATCTCAAGGCTAAATACGAAGTGTTTACTTCGTAAATGCGTTACGTAAACAATATCACTATATATTAAGCCGTTAGTACTTTTTCCAGTTAAATAGTACATGTAGTCATGTAAGATAGTTGGAAGTAGTCGGCCGAAAACTTTGGACTTAAGTTTCGTTCCAGGTGGTACTTATCAAGAAGACATCTTCAACCACCTAACATCGTACCATACTCCGTGAAATGTTGAACCAAATAGACTAATGGCCATATTGCAACTTGATCGATAGAATTTCATTTGTATTAAGAGACTAGAGAAGTATAATATTGGTTACTACCCAATGAAACATTAAAAGGTAATAATGTGTGTTTTAGGTATTCTGTTTATTAGCTTTCTTCTAAATTAGCCTACTCCATTTATTAACTTTCTAATCTTTATTTTATTCTAGTTTGAAAGTGCAACTTCACTAATACAAGCTGCTAAAAATCTAATGACATCAGTTGTTTTAACAGTGAAAGAAAGTTATATAGCATCAACTAAATATCGTGGTAGTTCTAATCAACGTTGTATAGTTCAATGGCAAATGCGTACACCAGAAAAAAAGTCATTAGTATCGGATTATTTAAAAAATTCTTCAATTTATAATCGTCACTATCTATTCGACGAGTTAAATTCACATCATCCAGATGCATTGAATGAATTATCACAATTTAAGCATCCACCAAGTTCATAATTAACATATTTATTGCTGAAAATGATTTTATACTACTTGTAACTATGAATACTACTAATTAAATTATGATCTCAATTGAAATGCTTTTATATTTCAAAGAAAAATTTCAATTCATCACAATTCAATAGCACTGATCTGATCATCTATTGTATATATCTGTATTGAATTCACATTTCTTTTTAATTTCCTTCTACCTTTTTATACATAAGTCAACCGTTTTCTTTTTTTTTTTTTCTCACCTAATAATGTTAGAAATCTACCTCTTTCTCTATACTTAATTTTAGTTTTAAATACATCATTGTACTCTATCGAAATGCTCAATTACACATTTATCCATGCGTGTATATCATACATATGTAGGCTTGATTTCAGTGCTTCATACCCTATAAGCACATTTCCCATAAACAGCTCAACAAATTCCTGTATCTCAGGTTATATACATTACTTTGTACGCTTCTCACTCATAAATTGTTGTGTTGTATACGAATTTCCTTTTAAACTGATTTTTTGTAAATAATCTTAGTGATTTCCTTACCTTTATAATGTGTGCATGTGTGTGTGTGTGTGGTGTTTGATTGTTTATTGTTGTCGGCAGCAGTGTTTTCTATATTTGTGTGCAAGTTCTGCGTTTATCCATTCCTTTTTTATATTACTTGTTAAAATAAACAATTGTTTACTCATTTTCTTTGATTCAAATCTTTGTGTTGTTATTCAGTGAAAAAGTTGACTGCTCATGGTGTACGGTTATTCTGAAATCAATGCGCTTCTATGTTGCTCATCTGTGAAAGTCTGGTCGTTTTACAGTAAATTTGGTGCTTAAGTCCGAATTTTCATCATGTTGTACTGTTTCATCATATTTTACAATTGATTGACCAATGTGTAGTGACCAAGGCCAAGTATGTCAGGTTCTTCTTAATGCAGACCGAACTCTATCGATCAAGTTGCAGTGTGGACACTAGTCTAGGTGACTATGTTAAGATGTAAATCGGTAGTTAGAGGTAGCTGACAGTAAATCCTACTTAACCTAGGTTCCATCTATTTGTCACTCGTCAGCAAGGTGTACCTGTAATTTTGCGAGAAATGGTGCTCCCTGGTGGATTAAGTCCTGTGTCACTCACCTTCACAGTTATAGATGTTATCACTGAGCTATTTGGGTCGCGTCTTTGATGTGAAGTGTATAAAAATGGATTTGTAAGCATATCTGTCAAAGTTCTTATGATCTGTGTATTACATATAGAATCAATCCAAGCTTTTGGGAGAGTTCTTTTTTATCATAAGCTTATCTTCCGACTCGCTCATCCACTCCAAACTTCAATTGCCTATCCAGATCAGATTAGTGCACCGAGCTTTTCACTGCTTGTTTACTTGTATGATCTATAGATAAGGTTGGCCTAAATTAGGTCTTCCAGAAAATGAACTTTGAGTTTGTGTTGAATCAGTGCCTGTATGTACATGATAAATCCATACCTATCAAGTAGACCCATTACTTCAGACTGCTAATATCTCTTTACATCTACAATTCATAAAAGAAAGAATACTAGAGCAGTTGGATTTGAGTGAATGTCCGAAAAAATTACAATAAGATACAATAAAGGAATTTGATAGGTAGTAGACTTTACTGTATAGTAGATATTTCAAACTATACTTTGGATTAATTGGTTATGTGTAATGTCTGCGTCATGTTACCAATTTTTTATAAGTGTTCAAGTCCCATCGCTTACCCCATCAGTATGGTCGCCTGGTTAACTGAGGCTACATAGTTCGATTGATGTTAGGTGATTTGAAATAAAACGGTATGAGGTCTAGATCTAGAGTTACTGGTCGAATAATGATGACCACTTAACACCGGGTTAAATTAACAGACATACTATTTAACGTATTACTAACAAGATTCAAATAGTAAGTCAATGATTTCCTGGATTGGTTTCATATTTCGATCCCACGTGTCATATACCAGTGAAGATTAAACTACAGGTAACTTTCGAGGACTATTAATGGACAAATATTCTATAAATATTCTTATTGTATAATTATTCAAGAATTGCATTATGTGTATTTATATTCCCCTTATTATAAGCTTCACTTTGACCTATAATTAATCATTGTACGATTTACTGTCCCTAAATTATGCTCAGTTTATTAATTGCTGTCTCCCACATTCACGGCCACTTTTTGGCCTATTTGTGTACATATGTTATTTTCTATTTTATGGTACGTTGTGGTCTGCCTGATTGATATATAAACCGAGTATGTGTGAAATAAATGATTTGGTTCGATTTTGGTTGATTCGGAAGCTGCTTTTGTGTTCTGGACTCAAGACGACGGGTTAGAAGGACGTAGGACCCAATAGGACGCTAGACTGCTCAGACCGGTTGAACGTCATTGGTCTTGTCATAGTGCGAATATTCGTATAAGCCGTATTCTGATTGGTGTATAAGTCACGTGATCGTAAGCCGGACATCAAATCATAACAAATTGGCGACGGGGATTTTGGCAAGAAAAAGTAATAAAACACTTGGTGACTCAGATCTTGGAAAGAAATAAGCTGTAATAATTGCCGGTGATTTTTTTTTGGAATTAATATTATTATTAGCAGTAAAAAAATATGGCGATTTCTTTTGAACAGTTGCAGTTATTATTACAGCAGCAACAGCAACAACAATTTCAACAACAGCAGCAGCAACAACAACAGCAAATTCTAGCTTCTCAACAGAAACTGCTAGAAACACTTTTGGGGAAGCTATCTATTCAACAAGATATTCCAGAACATAAAAGTATCGAGTCATATCTTAATCCAGTTTCGGAATTTATATTTGATGCAGACAATGGTCACACTTTTGAAGCATGGTTTGGCAGAATCGAAGATATTTTCCGAGTGGAATTTGCTGCTATGGATGACGCAAAGAAAGTCCGGCTGCTCTTACAGAAGCTTGGTCCCAACGAGCACCAAAAGTATAAAAACCATATCCTGCCTAAACACCCGCGAGAAGTTAGTTTCGAAGAAACTGTTAACATCCTAAATAAAATGTTTTGTGAACAGGCGTCCTTGTTCCGTATCCGGTATAATTGTCTACAGCTGACTAAAGAGGCTGATGAAGATTACACTACGTACGCCGGAAGAGTAAATTTGCAAGCAGAACGATTTAAATTAAATGTATTAACCAGTGATCAATTTAAATGTTTATTATTCATTTCTGGTCTAAACTCTCCTGTTGATGCTGATTTTCGCATGAAATTGTTATCCCGTATGGAACATGATGATGAAATGACGTTACAAACTATCACCACTGAATGTCAACGATTAATAAACTTAAAACAAGATACAGCTATGCTGGAAACTAAAAGTGCAGCGCCATCAAATTCTGTTCATGCTGTCAAGACAAGTCAAAGACAAAATAATACCAAAAGTCATAAATATCACTCGAAAACTCCTAAACCTGCAACTAAATGTTGGTATTGTGGTGCGTGGCATTTCTCAAGATTTTGTCGGTTTAAAAATCATAAATGCACTATATGCAATAAAGTTGGCCACAAAGAAACAGTCTGCCGAACCAAAGAAAGTTTGAGATCGAAACAAACCAGGCGTCCTCACCAGTACCAAAATAAGTATATAAACAGTATATATTCCACACTGGCTCTAAGCGTAGCTGATAAAAGAAGATATGTGGAATTAATGGTTAATGGTGTTCTTGTTCGATTGCAATTCGACACAGCGTCAGATATCACACTGATCTCGAAACGAACGTGGGATTTAATTGGGTGTCCGAAAGTATTACCAACAGAGCACACTGCACGGAATGCGTCCGGAGATATATTAAAACTTGTTGGAATGATAAAATGTTCTGTTAAATTCAGAGGTAATTACTTTACAGGAAATTGTTACTTAACGAACAGACATGAATTAGATCTTATTGGTATAGACTGGATAGATAAACTAAATTTATGGGATGTACCATTAAGTGAAATATGTTCGATGAAAAGCGCAAATAATCCTAGCGATCCACCCACAGTCCATGTAACTAAGAAAGTGGTAACGATAGAAGATCTTTTGCAGAAGCATAAAAACTTGTTCCAGAATAAACTGGGATGCTGCACAATTGAGAAGGCGAAATTATACTTACGACAGGATGCAAAACCTGTTTTCCGTCCAAAACGTCAAGTCCCATATGCTGCTATTGACAAAGTCGACAAAGAATTAGACCGACTAGAGAAGCTCGGTGTTATACAACCTATCAATTATTCGGCATGGGCAGCACCAATTGTAGTGGTTCAGAAAGCGAACGGAGCTATTCGCCTCTGTGCAGATTTTTCAACAGGACTAAATAACGCTCTACAAAGTCATTCATACCCATTACCTCTGCCAGAGGATTTATTTATTAAACTGAACGGTGGACGTTATTTTTCTAAACTTGATTTGTCTGAAGCTTACTTACAAGTAGAAGTTGACGAAGATTCAAAGGAGTTATTAACCATTAATACCCACCGCGGACTCTATCGGTTTAACCGATTACCGTTTGGTGTTAAGCCAGCCCCAGCAATTTTCCAGCAAATAATGGATACTATGGTGTCTAACGTCGAAGGTGTAGCAGTTTATTTGGATGACATTATAGTTGTTGGCTCTTCTGTGCAGGAATTAATGGGTCGGTTAGATGTGGTGCTCACAAAAATATCACAAGCCGGTTTTCAGTTACAAAAAGAAAAGTGTGAATTTCAGCTCGAGTCTGTCAAGTACCTTGGATATATATTTGATAAAAATGGTCGTCGACCAGATCCAGATAATATTAATGCCATCAAAAATATGCCCAGACCGACTGAGGTTACAACTCTTCGCTCATTTTTGGGGATGATTGGTTATTATAGTATGTTCGTACCCCATATGTATAAATTACGACATCCATTAAATCAACTCTTGATGGCTAATGCAACATGGAACTGGACAAAGAAATGTCAAGATTCTTTCGATGAAATAAAAAGGATTTTATCTTCTAAATTGTAGCTGA